TTGTGTATATAGCCTTAAAGTCACATGCCTCAAAGTGAAGAGCCCATCTGTGACCTGACACATGCCTTGCCCATAGCAATGTATGTTGCTCCAAAACACTGTCCTCCCGGAAATCTCTGTTCAACTGCTAATCAACACAGCCACAGTGATCAGCAAAAGCCAACAGCAAGAGCTGTCTGCAGGATCTCCAATAGCAGATCTCACGTAACAGGAAAAAATGAATTTGTTGATCTCTAAGCCATGGGTTTTGTAGGAAAAGATGCTGAAAGCAGGGTCACAGAAAAAGCCCTCCCTGGTGTCCCCTGGTCTAGGAATGCTTATGCTGTAATGCAGAGGTGTGTTCCCTTGTATGCACCTGTGCTCGGCTTCAGCCTAATGAGTTCTAGTAAGAGAAGGGTGGGTTTCAATGGAAGTTGAAAAACTTACCTGTGACTTGGGCTAAAACTTGAATATTTATGCAAGCACAGCTGCTGTTCCTACACCGTGGTCAGTATCAGAGCTACCTTAGCTAAGTGATCTTGGCTACAGCGTCCTTTTCTCTCCCAGTGTACCTCTGGGCGCAATATCTGCTCCAGATCAGGAGCGTTTGCTGATTGCCAAGATGTCACTGTAAGAAAGGCAGCTGGAGTAGATCCCAGGTTAATGTGGTCTTTACCAGCCAAAAGCCAAAGCCAACCCTTAGCATTCTACCTAGTAGTCGGAGATCAGAAAAAAGGAGACACCTTATTCTTCAGCAATTGCAAATGATTTGTCAAGTTCTACGCTCACTCCAATTTTTTATGGATTTCCAATATCATTCTGGGTCAAATCTGGATACACAGACATTAATGAAAAGATTTGGCAACATTAAGGAAGATAATAAGTTAGAAACCTGACTCCTGCCTCAGAGAGGCTTGCATATCACTGGAACGTCTGTCTTATCATGTCCTCTAGCTTCACTAGGATTTTTAAGTGCAGATTTCTTTTCTTTATTGTAGTAACATCACTTCATGCAACATCAACATAGTTCTACACCTATCAAAATATCTCTAAATGAGAATATCCTGAAACATGTCAAAATATCACTGCTCTATTTTAGAACATCTAGAGGTACAACAAAGTGTTCATTTCGCATGTATTTTGGGTTATTTCCATTTGGTTTAGAAAACTATTCTAATTCTTATGTCTGTCATATGAGAACCATGATTCAAATCCTACAAATAAAGTTACACAATTCCAGTGACGAGTGTATTTTGTGCAGGTCTACTGGGAAATTGGAGGAGTTAATTTAAAATAATGTATTCCAGGCTGGGTGCTGTTTCACCGGTGCGAGACAGAAACAGTGCCATTCCCTTGGTTTGTTTCAGGATTTGATTCAGACCATTTATTATTCAAATCACGGACTCTTAGCCTCCAAAACCTGATCTGAATTATTACACTTTCTTGAGCCACTGGAGAACCTGACCTATTATACTGAAATTGTTGTTGAAAACAAATTTCAGCCAAAAGCTGGATAAAGTTATTTTTCCATGCCATAGTAACTGCATTTGAACTGTTATTTGAAATTTTCGTAAACTGGATCTGGACTTGAACCAGACAAACTCCAGTCACAGCCAAGCTCAGCGTGGAATTGAACCGAAAAATACTGCACTTTTGTAATTCAAAAGTGCTTACGTGAAGAGAAAAATGTACTTAAGTTCCTACAGGTTGTGGAAGGAATTCCAGGTTACCCAGTGACCTCTGTGCGGGGCTGTGGTTCGTGGTGCCTGCTGATCTCCCTTGGGCTGGAGACCAGCTCCTGGGCACAAGTCCAGTTGGACTAACATTTGCATGGGATTGGGGGTCCCAACTCTGCTGAATCCTCAACTCAGCAGGAGTTAGGTGGGGCTGTGCTGCCGGTAAGGAGGCTTTCCCTTCATCTGAGACCGAAAGCTGCCCCTGAGATCTCCTAGGGGTGCTCAGCTATGCAGAGCAATAAATTCAACTCCTATTTCTGCAAAATCCAATGGTCCACATCAAGTTGGGAGCTAGGAGAATGGAGTTACGGGTCCTGCTTAAATGCTGTTTAGCTCTTCAGGCTTTTTAACACTACCATGCCTCTTATGGTATTATGCAAATATACACATAGATAACACAACACTTACATTCATACCCTCACATGCACTCAACTATAGGAGGTTCTTGAACTTCTGAAGATGACCTTAGGACTTCAGAGATTTATTTCATGTGTGGGAGATCAAAAGAAAAAACCTCAAAGACAACAGCAGTTTCATCGTATCTGAATAACCAAGAAGGTGTGAAAAGCTCATGATGAATTTGTGCGGCACAAACATCGTGCATGACAATGACTCAAACAAATCTTGGAGGGCTACCGTATAGGAGTTTTAGAGCTGTTATAGGTGCTGTAAAACTCCAAATAGAAAATAAACATCTTAGGAAATATAATTCCAGAGGTAGTCAGTACTACAGCAATGCACACATCCTCAGGATTTCAGTACAGCCATTGGTTCTCTCTGTAGCAGAGTTATTCCTCATTTTCTAGTATAACAGCCTTCTTACAAACAAGATAGATGCCAAAATAATTAGCACTTTAAGAGTGGTACACAGCACATCAAACTCCAATCCAACTCCATCTATCCTAGATACCTGGGCCATTGAATATTCTGCTGGCAAATGTTAGATGCTGAAGGGGATGTGCTGTGGAAGTACCAGTAAGGGTCTGTTGTTCCACAGTGACCTGAAAGAAGCTCTGCTTACCCACAGTCCAGACAATGCTTTGCACTATATCATCCAAACCTTCCCATGAACTGTATAGAACTTTTAAGTCCACGTCCTTACACATGAGCAGCTTTTGACATTGCAGCTAAGGAACTCATTTTTAATCCTGCTAAAGCAGAGCCTGCCCTAAGCTGACACAATGCAGCTAACCTCAGCTGTATCCAAAAAATTCACTGAAGCTGTGGAAATCTTTTACATGACATAAAGATGATGAACTGTATTGTAGCTGTGGTAAACTCCAGACCCGTGTTGTTAATGACTACATAGCACATGTTTATGCAGTGACATAAAAGGAATTCATCAGCCCTCCCAGGACTTGACTGAACGGCTCAGTAAGCTTGGTGTGAATTTTATAATCTGTTGTT